AGGCCAAGCAGCATCTTGGCCTGCTGTGTTCATCCAGCTCTACACCTTGTTATCTCAGATTCTCCAGCATCTGCAGTTCCTACTATCTCTGAAAAGCCTTCCTGCTCCTCTGATGCTGCTTGGCCTGCTGTGTTCATCCAGCTCTATACCTTGTCTCTATAACCTGTGTTAGTGTCTGGTAGAGGATTGTATTTTTCTCATAAAATGAGAAACTGTCAAACCCCTAGATTTTTCAATTTTCCCCCCTCGCTCTTGAATTTTATAATTGCTTCTGGAATTCAATTATATTGGCAGCAATTCTCCAATACCTTAAGCAAATAACCAATCTTCAAGAGAGACTTGACAGGCTATTGGACTGTGGATATTTGACAGCAGTATCTAATTGTACTTTCACCTCCTATTCATGTATGCACACTCTTCAGTAAGATTCTGTTTGTACTGATGGGAAGCAGGTACCATATTTGACTTTTCCCTTCCTTGGACCAACAATACTTCACTCAGTGCAAAACCTTTGTTAATTACTCTACCAGGGTATACAAAGTGTACAGCCATTTCCATTTGGGAGGGACAAGGTTCCATGACTAAGTCTATATGACAAATACTAAAATATCTCCAGATTTACCAGACGAAACGCATTTTAATTGAGCTCAGGAAATTGATGTCTAACTGCTGGTCCACCTCCCAGGAAGGAATAAGCTGCTTCAGATGTCACTAAACAGCCGAGCAGAAATAATTCAAAGTACAATTTTGAACTGGACATATCAGCAGCAGGCACCCCATCTATTGCTGAGAACTGTCGTATTGAGCTTTGATTTATCGGCATTACTTGCTTTAAACATTGTTGGCCGCTTTGAAAATCTCCATAACATGAAACATTTAGGGCTGTTATATTTAACTTTCAGTTCATTTGCTTCATGGACACCTGTTTGTCTATTGCAAATTCAGGACTTCCTTCGGAATATTCCTGGAAGCATCTTTACTTCAGACCTCTATGATGATTGGCTGGCAGCAGTAGAAAAGAGAAGTCATGAGGAGAAGATAAAGGAAATTCAAAGGTTGGTTAAAGTATTCAGTGGAACATTGTATTGGTAATGTACAGCTTCAGAGGAAGCTGGTACATCTTGAAAGCAGTGAAGCAGACACAAGGAGGCCAAAGGACTATAAGATATCAGAAGCTGTGGGGGATGGGGCACAGACAAAAGCTGTATTACAGCCAAAAATAACCCTTTCTTCTCACAACCACAACACACAGAAAACAGCCAATCATTCACTTAAAGCACAGCCCAATAATTTTGTTTAATTACCCATTCATGGGAGTAGCTGGCATTTGTTTCCCATCCTTAATTCCCTCAAAAATGTAGTGGTGAGCAGTTGTCTTGCAGCTCATGTGATAAGGTCCCCCCAACATTGCTAATAGGGAGCAAGTTCCAACATTTTGATGTAGTGATGTTGAAAGTAATCTATGTATTTCCAAGACAGTGTGTGTGATTTGCAGAAAGACATGGTGTACCCTTGTCCTGTTGCTCTTATCCTTCGAGGTGGTAGAGTTTGTGGATTTGGGAAGTACTGTAGTGTATCATTGTGACAGCTCATGCTGCAGCCATGGGGTGCTGCTGGTGGATGGGATGCCAGTCAAATAATGTGCCAAGTTTTTTTTTTTGAATGTTGTTGGAACTGCTCTTAATGCAAGGGAATATTCCTTCAGAGATAGTAGGAACTGCAGATGCTAGAGAATCTGAGATAACAAGGTGTAGAGCTGGATGAACACAGCAGGCCAAGCAGGATCAGGGGAGCAGGAAAGCTGATGTTTCGGGCCTAGACCCTTCTTCAGAAATGGGGGGGGGGAAGGTGTTTCTGAAATAAATAGGGAGAGACGGGGAGGCGGATAGAAGAAGGATAGAGGAGAAGATAGGTGGAGAGGAGACAGACAGGTCAAAGAGGCGGGGATGGAGCCAGTAAAGGTGAGTTATCTCAGAATATTCCTTCACACTATTTGTTTTGTGTGTAGTAAATGGTAGGCAGGTCTTAGTGAGTCAGGAGGCTAGTAATTTTCCACATTATTACCAAACCTATAACCGAATCCTTTAGCCACTGTATTAATGAGTTTTTCCAGTTAAACTTCTGGTGTTCTCCAGGATATTAATGGTAAGGACCTCATATATAGTAATGCCATTTACTGTCAAGTCTAGGTGATTAGATTCTTTGTTAACAGAGATGGACACTGAACATTATTTTCCACCTATCAGCCATGCCTGAATGTCATCCAAGTTTTGCCACATGTGGGCATGGACTGCTCCATTTCTGAGCACTTCTGAATGGAACAGCAAATTGTGCAATCAGCAATGAATATCCTGAGTTTTGACCTTTAAAGTGGAGAGAGGATCATTGAAGCAGCTGATGTTGTTTGGGCCATGTACATTATCCTGAAGAATTCTTGCAATGATGGACTTTGCAGGGGTTATTGGGCAGGTGTGCCTTTGTTGTGTTTAATTCTAATACCTAGGATGATGCTAGGTGGTCAGTTCTGTTTTATTTTTTTCATGTTTTTGTGATTGTTTAGTAAGGGTATTAAAGAGTCCACAGATTTGCTGTGAATCTGGAATCTCATATAGGTCGGGCAGGCAGGATTTCTTCCATACAGTCACCAGTGAACCAAATGTTACTAACAAGCTAGTAGTTACATTCTCACCATGGCTGATGTCACCTTTTAATGAAGAGTTATTTTGTGAAATGAACTTACATTGCCTAATTGTTGGTAGGATTAAAAAATCATTTCTCTGGGTTGTTTATCCATGCATTTGAATTGGTAGCATATAAGTAATCAAAGAAAAGATTGAAGTCTGAAATATTAAATATTTTAATGCTATTGAGAACATTTAGTTAAGGTTGGTCGTAAACTGAATAGCTAAATTCAGTATGTATCTGAAGGCCCCACAATGGGGAATGCAGATTCAGGGGGAGTTTCAAAAATCTTAGGGACACAGAGCTCCTGTTCTGAAGCTAAACGTAGGACCCCATTATCATGCTTTTGTTTTTGTATCCTGCTCGGCAGTTGGTCAGATGGAATGTATGGTCAGTTGCCAGGCAGAAGATTACAGTGAGTTGTGGGAACAATCCTGGCTTTTTGGGAAAGGGTGGATTTGAGGTTGGTGGACGGATATGCTGGCCTATTTCTGCAATGAGTAGGAACTACAATTGGCAGAAGGCAAGTCAGAAGATTGCTTGAAGGCCCTAAGGAAGTGCCTCATTTCTCCAGTTGCTTTCCATCTCCATTTTAACTTTTGGGTTTTCTGAGCTCTGGGAAATTTAGCAAACAGTTGCTGAATTTAAATCAGCCTTCCAAATTGAACTGTGTATGCATGGGAAAAAGAATTCGGTTGTTTAGATGAGCAGGCAGAAGACGAATCAAGGGTCAGTTGGAGCAAATGATTGGGTCGTCAGCTACTAAAATCGAACAATGAAAGAGAATGATTTGAATCCCTATGATTGCAAAGAGAAGACAGCAGCTGCAGGGAAATGGGAGTCAGTCCAGAAAAGAACAAAATATTTGTAAATTGTTCAGCTATCACTTTTACACTTTAATAACAACAAATTGCCTTTAACTTGTTAAAAACACCTCAAGGTGATTCACGTAGTGTTATCAAACAAAGTCTGACACCAGCTACATACCGTGTGTGATGTTAGGAAGTATGACTGAAAGGAACATCTTTGGGAAGAGATGGAGAGAAGCGTCGAGATTTGGAATGAACTGAAAGATACAGTGGCCAATGATGAAGTGATGAAACCTGGGGATGTGCAAGAGGCTTATGTTAAAGGAGCTCTGAGATCTTAGATACACTTTATTCATAACTACACGGCTACAGGCTACTGTAACAAGTTGCTTCCCAATGACATCTGGTGCCCTGGAACTGAAAGGAGATTCAGCTAGTTTTTTTTCTCTGATATTGATTCTCAATATACAATGTTGCAGCCATTTTAGCATTAAAGGTTAGATGGAAATTTAACAATTTTAAAAAGAAATTTTATCCTATTGCCATCTGCAGGTGCAATAAGTGCTGCAATTAGATCATAGTACTTTCAGTATGATTTTTTTTCCACTGATTAAGAGTTTTGAGAAGGTCCTCTGAGCAATTTTAATACCTAATAGATTTTGGGTTATCTCAACTTTTAAATGTAACCGTAGTGATTCAATATATAAAAATATTAACCCAACAACAATAAACTCCAATGGCACTAAGAGGGGAGGTTCTTGAATATTTTAATTTTTGTCTTTACAGCAAATTGACAATTATTTTTGTAATAATGAGACACCATTCTGACTGCAATTGAAAAGAGACACACTGGTATCTGTGTGATTCCAAGATTTCACACTGGCGAGAATCCATAACATGCCTGAGAAAAGAATTGCGAGCCATAATTTTGCCTGATTTTGGTCATTTAGTTTTGCTGTCCCCATTGTTGAACTTTTGATTGCAAAGTTATTTCTCTGTAAGATTGGAAATCAGTATTCCCAAGCCAAATAAAGTCATCAAATATAAGAACAATTTCCAGAATCATTCATTCTTCTAGTGAAGGAACTCCACATCTCTACTAGAAAGTTGGGGGTGGATGGGGGGATAAATCATTGATCAAAAGAAAGTTAGCACTTCTTGCCTTCCCTAAAGTGGCAGTGTCATCAGAGTCTTTCAACATTCTGTTTACCTTCTCATTTTCTCTAGATTGTTGGAGCAACTTCCAAAACTCAATACCCTCCTCCTACATCATGTATTTAGAGTGCTTCACAACATTGAGCAGCAGGCTGAGGAAAACCAGATGAACGCATTTAACTTGGCAGTCTGCATAGCACCCAGCATCTTGTGGCCTCCCTCACCCTGCAGTCCTGAAATAGACAGCGAGTCAACAAAAAAGGTGAGATGTAGTTACTGCCAACAGTCAGGTGATTACAAGATGGTGTGATGCACAAACTTCATGGTGAAAACTTTGTGTAAAATGTTCCAAACTATGCTGTGCTTGGAGTGTACAAGATTGTTTAACCATTTTACCAAATCCTCAATGTCTGCATTTATTTATGTTGATCTTCTAATGTATATATATTGGAGCCCTGTTTTATTTAATACTGAGGTCAGTTGACACTTTTTTTTTGTGTCACATTGCTTGTAAAAGGTTGACTCAATATTACTATTAGGAACATAGAGGGAAAACTGATTACATCATTTTTAAAAAAAGAAGGCCCTCACTGTTCTTTTGAATAGAATAAGTACACTCAATTCTGTCCCTGATTTAATTTTACATAATATATAAACATAAAATATACTTGTTTCAGTTCATTCATCTTATCGGTCAAGTCTCTCTTCAATATGTTTCAATACATTAATTCTTTTAACATAACATGGCAAAGGACTGGCTTTGGATATGTTTCCACATGGGGGGAGAAAAGTGACATGTTATGTTGAATTATTTCAATAAGTTTTAAGTCTTGTCCCGTAATTCAGTGTGTTCACTTAATTTCATCACATTAATGATGCTAAAGCACTGCAGCTTCTCTGGGTGGTAGCTGAAGGAGCTGATATTTAATTCTGCTTTTATAGCACTTTCCAGGTATTTGGATAATCAGCACCCTCTATTGACTGCTCTGGAGCAGTGAAATTACTTAAAGGGGATGTAATTATTGATGCCTACTCCTCGGATAATATTGCCCTGTAAAGAAGCCTGCACATTGACCAATGTGGTCTACTGCATCCCTGCAGCTGATGTGACCTCTTCTACATCAGTGAGACCAAGTGGAGGCTCGGAGATCACTTTGTAGAGCACCTGTGCTCTGTTCATGACAAACAACAACACCTTCTGGTCGTGACCCATTTTAACTCCCCCTCCCACTCCCACTCCCACTCCCTAGGTGACATGTCCATATTGGGCCTCCTCCAGTGTCACAATGACACCACCCGGAAACTGGAAGATCAACACCTCATATTTCGCCTCAGGAGCCTACAGGCCAATGGCCTAAATGTGGATTTTACCAGTTTCAAAATCTCCCTCCCCCCGGCCTCATCCCATGACTAACCCTCCCTCTCATCCCTGCCTCCTTGATCTGACACAACCTGCCCATCATCTCTCCCACCTGTCTGCCACTCCCACCTCACTGACCAATCCCCACCACTCGCTACCTGCACTCACCTATCACCATCCCACCTACCTTCCCCTGCCCCACCCCTCCTTTCTCTATTTCTGAGCTCCCTTCCCCCAGACTGTTTCTAAAGAAGGAAACATCAACTTTGCTGCTCTTCTGATACTGCCTGGCCTGCTGTCTTCCTCCAGCTCCACACTGTATGATCTCTTCCCATGGAGAAAGCAGCAATTAGTGAAAGAAGATGATTCCAACCAAGAAATTCTCAGCTGTAAGGCACAAGTAAAGGAAAAATTTAAGCCACAACTAATCTGCTCATGTTCCCATTTACTTGCCAGTTAAAGCATTGGAATTATTGGTCCCAACAGTATATCGAAAATCATGAATACTGCAGCATTTTACCCTAACTACCTTCATTTACCTCAATATCAAGGTTTGGGCCAATAATTGGCAAGTAACATTTGTGCCACACAAGTGCCAAGCAAATACCATCTCCAAGAATAGAAAGTATAACCATCACCCTTTGACATTTAGTGACCCATCTATCAACCCTTGGAGGTGGGCATTAACCAGCAACTGAACTGGACTAGCCATATAAATACAACAGCAGGTCAGAGGCTAGGACTGCTGCAACAAGTAACTCACTTCCTGACTCCCTGAAGTGTACTCCCTATTTAAGAGGCATATATCAGAGTGGTAATGGAAAATTCCCTAGTTGCCTGCATGAACAATGCTCTTCAGGTCAATGCAGCCTGCTCGATTGGCACCTTGTACATAAACATCCAGTTCCTCCACTACCAGTGCTCAGTAGCAGCAGTGTGTACTATCTGCAAGTTGTACTGCAGAAATTCACCAAGTCTCCTCAGACAGCACTTTCCAAGCCCATGACCACTTCCATCTCGAAGGACAAGGGCAGCATATACATAGGAATACCACCACCTGCAAGTTCCCTCCAAACTGCTCACCATTGGACTTGGAAACCTATTACTGTTCCTACAGGAACTCCCTCCCTAACAGCATGTTATGGTTATCTATGCCAAGTTTACTGCAGTGTTTCAAGAAGACAGCTCACCATCAACTTCTCACAGGCAGCTATAAATGTGCAATATGCTGGCCCAGCCAGTGAGCCCACTTTCCATTAAAAAGTACAATGCTCTATTGGTACAGGTGCACTGCCCGCTCTAACAGTACAGGAACATTGCTCTGCTCCAATAGCATTAGACAGCTTAAATAACCTAGGTCTGTGTGTAAGTCTACTGCTACAGTATAGGATCACTTAAGTCACACATGACTGACCCCGTAGTGTACATGTGTTTCCAATATTTGAAACTCTATAGTTCTACAATTGTAAACTCATGCAGGTTAGCATCTCCAGGAAAATAAAGGAGGTGATGGTCAATATTCTGATTATCTCACTACTACGAGGTTAATTCAATCAAGTGTCATAATTTAAAATTGTCTTTGGGGGAAATAAACGAGAGTTTACTTCAACTATGGAACTGAAAGAAAACAAGCTTGTTGGTCACCACTGCTTGTGCATCTGACATAGTTTTCCTTTTCATTGCAGTTGATAGACTATTAAAGCGACAGAGTGACTGTGTACTACAGAGCAATCCTACATTAGTGCTGAACGCAGTCCTACAATCCAGAGAGAGGCCCTGCCTGCACCTTTTTGAAGTAGTGGGATGGCTGTAAAATATATAGCCAGTCTGTTATTACCCAAGTCCTTGCCAAAGTTGGATTTTACCTCCATTACATGAATTTGAAAAAAATACATTGATTATTGGATATTGTTCACCAACCTGCATATCATGAAAGATTCCCTATTTCAGCTGTTCAACATTATAAAGACACAAAACTCTGAGAAGGAAGTTTAATGTTTGCATGGTTAGCCTTAAATTGCTTTGGGATTTCAAGTATCTATATTTTGAAGCAAGCCAACTAAAATATTTTTTCCAGGAATTCTCTACTTGTTTTTGTACAGTTCTACTAGGGACGAATGTGTGGGTTAACAGCATTTGGTTTGACTTTGCTCCAAGTTTCATATTGTGGCTTGAAGGGACGTGCCACATCTGCTACACCACCTTCCTACTTTTGCAAAAGACAGAACAATTGCACATTTGACTCCATGCAGATGCTCTGTGTCCTGCCGTCATCTGATTGCTGACAAAGCAAAGCATGTGATGCCAGCATGAGTTCTTGGAACAGAATTTTACAACAATGAACTCACACTTCTGGCCTATCTCGTTCTGTAGGTTGCACTGTTTGTGCAGTTTCTAATTGAAAACTGCTGCAAGATCTTTGGAGATGGTTTCATGACCCCTTTTGGAGTGTTCTCATCAAGGAAATGTGAAGAAAGAGATGATGGTTCAGGTGAAGACATTGTTATCTTGTCAACAATATTTAAACTATAAAATGAATGTCCATTTTGACCAAGGATCACAATCAAACTGCAAATATTCACTGATTTTTTTTTTTGTTCCCTCCACATGAGCCTATACAATGTTGAAGAATATTTTTACTGAACTACCTTATGCCATAAATGTATAGAAAACAGACAAGCAATCACATTTATTACAAGTCAACTTAAAGTTATTTTTATGTCGTAGAAAATATGGGTTTGCTTATAAATCACATATCTGAATGTGTCTGTTTTTAATAGGATTACTCAGTGTACCAACAACAAGTGCCTCCCCAAAGTAATTGATGTAAAATTAACTAGATGACCAGAAGATACTTAAATGATGGTGTTCATTGCTAAAGCTCAATTTTACTCCTAAGAAAGAGGAAGCTAGCAAAATTTGAATGCTGATTCTATAGTTGCAGTTCTGTTAGAAATCATAGATTCATACCTACAGTGTGGAGATAGGCCATTCAGCCCAACAAGTCCACACCACCTCTCCAAAGAGCATCCCACCCAGACCAATTCCCCTACATTTTTCCCCATGTCTAACCCACCTAACCGAAACATCCCTGGGCATTATACCAACCTGCACATCTTTGGACTGTGGGAGGAAATTGGAGCGCCCAGAGGAACCCCACGCAGACACAGGGAGAACGTGTAAACTCCACACAGACAGTTGCCCGAGGGTGGAATTGAACCCAGATCCCTGGAGCTGTGAGGCAGCAGTGCTAACCACTGAGCCACTGTGCCACCATGTTTGTTCCTTCTTTACCTTGGGAATCTAGAGAGCTAGAATTATTTACTTCAATAGGTAAAACACAAGCCTATGTATAGAAAGTCTCTTGTAACAAATGTAATGTTCCATAAATTAGAACTAAGTGTTGGCTGTAGGTAAACCTATCATAAATGTTGATAATATGTGAACTTATACTGCTTTGATCAGAAAATATGAAATCTTGTTTATATAACTTTGATAACACTTTTACCTCTTGAATGAGAAGGCAATGGGTTTAACTTCCATTTCAGTGAATCAAGCACGTAATCTAAACTGACACTGCAGTGCAGTGAGTGGGTCCTACACTTTTATAAAGGATCTGTCTATCAGATATGTTAAACTGAGACAATAATTGTCCAGTAAGATGGATGCACAAGATTCCATGACATTATGTGAATCCTCAGTGAAAACAAGTAAAACCGGTTGCTCAGTTATTTCACCAACTTGCAATGTACATGTTAGCTGCTGTATTTCCCTGTATTGTAGCAGTGACTGCATTTGAGGAAAACCTTCATTCGCACTGATGCATTTTGGGACACCTGAGAATGTGAAAAGTGATTTATAATAGCACGTTCTTTATTTGCTGGAAAAAAAGATCAATGTTATTTGAGAGTTTAAAAATCATAAGGAATGCTGACAAAATTGATCTAAACAGATTGTTTACTTTTGTGGAGGGCTCAAATACTCAGGGCCATATTTAGAAATGAGAAGTTGGAAGCAATCTGTTTATCCAAACAACAATTGGCTTGTTAAAATAAACTAACTGGAAACCCCATTGACTGGATTTAGCAAATTATTTCAGGAAGGAATTAAAGTTAGGGTGGATGGGGAGATGTGTGAAATTGAATTTTTGAGTTAGTCAATTAAAAAGGTTGGGTCTTTTAGAGCCAAATAATTTTATCCTGATGTCTGACCATGTTGTATCAGATAAAAGATATTTTTTGCTTCCTCTTGCAGATCTCTCTTCATTTCAAATGCATGACTCCTCTTATGATAGTCTGGAAAATGAGCTCAATAATGATACTGATTCCCCACTATCTAACCTGATGTCAAAGAGAAACCAAGACAATCGAAGTAGGGACTCTGTTCTGACCTGGAGTGACTGTGATCTTGAACAACCTGAGGATGAAGGAAGTCATGTACAAGTTCTAGCCTCCCAAAGTAGAAGTGTGAGCTGTCCATTTTCTGAGAATGACCTCCTGGACTCTAACATTTATGACTATGCTACTGACAGAAGGCTTGCAGGTTCCAGAAGATACAGACGGTGTTCAGAGCCCAATATATTTCCTCCTGCTTCACAATTTACTCAATGTTGTCAGAATCGTGACACTGTGATTCGTAAAGCTAGCTATGATGCTACCATGACTCATTCAGATGACAACTACCTTGCGCAATTGCAGATGCTACAGATTGAGGACCAGAAACTCATAAACTGCAGTTTGCACAAGGGTATTGACCAGGAAACATCTAACAATGGAAGCCACAAAGTTGCTCAGAAGGTGTTGCACAGCAGTAGCCGACTTCAGCCACCTCCACCACTCAAACTTAATGTCACTTCAAAGACTATCAGCTCCAGTTTGTCCTCACCTGGCACTTCACCATCAGGCTCCTCGATGAGTTCAACTGATAGTGCTTTCACACGTAATGCAGAATGTTGTGTGTTAGATGAAAACTTCTCAACATCCAGTTCTGCCGTGCAAGGTCATAAAGGCCCCCCAGCATTGGTAGCTAGCCCCAGTATGTTAAAGCACTGTTCTGGTCTCCAGTCTCCTATACAGGGTCATAGCACAGCTATCACTTCAACCTCCACCGCAACAGAAAAACCCAAGGGAAGTTGCAACTTGACTGAAGAAATCTCTAAGTGCATTATTGAGAAAGACCCGGTCACTCTGCGTTCCAACAGCTGGCTGAAGAAAAGTGGATGCTGGACACTTAAAAGGAAGGAGAGGGGATATAAGCTTAAAAGCAAGCACGGACCATTCTTTGTAGATAAAGAACTCGCCGATGGCAAGTTAACTGTTTCTCCAGTGGCTGCAGAAGACGTGGCTCAAAAGTTGAACAGAAGCCAATTGGTCAATCCACTGTCCTTTCAGAAACCAATTGGATCACCTCTGCAAAGTGCAGGTGTCAAAAGGAAAGGAGTGATGGTCCAGTCTTCAAAGCTTTTAGTCCAACATGGACATTGTGATTCACAAGAACTCATCGATAGCTCTGTTACTTGCAGATCACATCTGTTGAGTACAGCAAATCAAACCCCTCCAGAAATTGATCAAATACCTCGGACTATCTTTTATGGGCAACATTCAAAGTTATGTCTTCAGTCGACACCACATCAACAATCACGTTCATTCTCACTGGGAGAGAAATTTTCCCAAAGAATAGTTAATCCACACTTGTCTGAATTGGTAACTTGTGCTCACATGGGTACTCGGAGTCCTGGGGAAATCAGTGAGAGTGCAGCTAATACAGATCTTCCTGTGCAAAAGGATGGGGTGCATCAGGAGAAGAAACCATTTCCATCAACAAGTGGACCACATGCAAATGAGCAGGAGTTTCACGGGACATGCTCCACTGCTCTTTCCCATAGTGCAGCTAAAGCAGTTGAGGATTATTTTTTGCAGATCGATGCTGAGAAATATTTCATAAAAAAACAAGAAGTTACTGATGCTGTGCTACAGTGCAAGAAGAAATGGCAAAATAAGTGCTGCAGTGATCCGAAATTTGGAGACTTCGAACAAGTATTTTTCTCCGAGGAGTCTTATGTGTAAAGACTTTGTTTGGATATAGTGTTATTACTTCTTCACAAAACTATTTGAAAATATGTTAACTCTGGTTCAATTCAAACTGCCATGTAACATTATTACAACATAGCTCTCACCATGTAGTCTAAATAGCTGCAAGTACATTTTTGACAATGCCATATTTGATCTTTTGTGTATGCTTTGATATTTACAGGTCTGTATGATGAAATCTTGTCCTCCGCAAGATAAAAATGTATATATTTGCAATTTTAAAAAATAAGTTGTTTAAAAGTGACTATTATATTATGAAACCAACGGCTGCTAAATGGGATATGCAAAGAACTCTGACACTCTTTGCCTGCCGTGAAATCGACATTAAAGTTGGAACAAATGAACAATCAAATTGTTTCCCAGTTCCACACTCTGAAACAACAGCCATCATTTGGGCTATAGAAAAATGTATAAATTGAAAGGTAGCAATGTTGTGTGGCAGCTTTTTACCTTTTGAGATAATGGCTTGTGCCGTTGTGGTCAACTCTGTTAGGCACCACCTGGTGAGACTCAGGACCTCCACCCTGGCCTGATAGTCTCTATCACATTTGCTGCAGAGAAAGAGCATGACCAAGAAGATGCAAGATTGACTGACCTCTGGCCTCTGAGTCCTCAATTGGCAAGCTGAGCTTTTTGTAATTTCGTGTTTCTTCCAATGACTTTCCAAAAAGATTCAGCTCCCTTCCCCTTCCAAGGCCAATCAGCAAATGCCTTCCAGGTGTTGATATCAATATCTGTCATCTTCTCTTATTTGCAGGTGTCCTCGATAACAGAAATACAAAAGCCATGAGATCATGGGCCCAATGAACATGACCAAGACGGTGCAGATGTAGTTACTTTTGCAATGAATTAGCACATACAGGGCCTCAAGGTTGGTGACCTTGTTTTGCTAAGTGATGCCAACTATATGTCTGAGACAGCGAAGACCGAAACTTCAGCATTTCTTCCTATATAGCATAGACTGTCCAGCACTCACCACTAGTGGCGTGCACTGAAGACTCAGACTTGATTGACTTTTGGTAGTGCAGTAAATATGTTGATATTCAATGCACCAGGTATGGACAGTTGGGAATGGGTTTCTGCCTTACATTTCCACACAATTGTTAAGCTTGTAGTCTATATTATAGCAGTGGAGGAGTTGCTGTGAGACTATAGGTAAGGTTAGTTACCCTGACAGGTAAGAGTAGCAATCAGATAACATTATCCTTGAATTCTGGCATTTGGCACAATTTTCAGAGTCTGGGAGCTGGCTGCCTTTTGTCTGACCCATTAACCAAGGAGCAATGCTTGATGAGGAGAAAACTGAAGCCGAAAATAAAGAAATAAAATAATATATTTCATTTAACCAAACATATGTAATCTTCTTAAAATCTGGCAATCATATTGATTGGCATGTAGATGTGGAGAAAATGCATAATCTGAAAAATAATCAATGTAAACAATTATCAGTTTGGTTTGCGTTGTGTTCTTTATGCTTGCTGGGTTAGTTCTCATTACTTCCATGGTTTGAATTCATGATACTATCATAATGAGTTCATTTCTTAGCCTACCCTTTGCTGCTCAAGGTTTAGATATATTGTACAATGAGGTTAATTGGATGACAGATTTACATTCTTTTTTACCTGAACCTTCCTGACTGAAATTTTGCATTATACCCGGCTATTTATTACAGATTTTGAGCACTTTCTATTTTTCTTCTTGTATTAAGCACTTTTTGTAATAAGAAACCAATAATTGATTGCACTGTTTCTTTTCCCAGAAAATTCCATGATTCTGTTGGCATAGACTTGTTCAAATTTTCTTGTCATCTGTCCCTCTCAATGAGAACCCCTGCACCAGTGAGCAGTGCACTGGGACTACTTTACAGGAAGCGGTCCATTGTCACTGACCAGCTACAACATATTGTAGATCAAATTATGTAGATAACATGATAAAATAATTCTTATAAAAATTTATTAAAAGGTGAATATTGTCACTGTAAAGTGCACAATTTGTGGTCCATAAATTGTAATATTTATTTCCTTTCTAAAAGACTTACTAATGATATTAGACTAATTTTCATTAATATTGAGTTGTTACATTATTTTATCTGTGTAAGATGGACTTGAGCATTACAACAATTGAAATTACTTTTTTAAACTCCCTCTTTAGTTGAATACTAGTTTTTACTATATATTGAAGATAAAATTTAGTTTGAAAAGCCTTTTCCTGATTTTGAGCTCACTTGACAGGTGTAGATGCTCAGAATTTGTGGCAGTTGTGATTTTTTTCAGTCAAGTGACTTGACCTTACTAATTCTCCAGTATGTGCTCTCGTTGAAGGCAGCTCCAAATTAAAAATGTCCTGAAAATGAAGCCTATTACTCCCATTCTATGTGATCTCAACTGCAGTGTCAGTATGAGGGCTACTATTGGCTGTTGTATCTCTGGGCTACAAAAGGGATAAATCAATCTGTTCCTTATTTTTATAAAATACATGCAAGGACAAAACTGGCTATGACATTTTCTGAGGTCAAATAGCCTGTAAAAAAATCACTGCCAACACTTCCCCATGAATAATGATCATTTTAGAAAGTGCTTGCATTCGCAGCAATCTTCATCATGAGTGCTATGTGGATGATCTGTCTCGGCCTGCTCCAGTGGTTTCCAAAATCACAGATGCCAGTATTGATCCAATATTATTTACTCTGTTTGATATGAAGAAATGGTTGGAGGCACTGAATATTGTGAAGACTTAAGGTCCTGTCAACATTCCAACAATAGTACTGAAGACTAGTATGCCAGAAGTTGCCACTCCCCTAGCCAAGCTCTTCCAGTACTGTTACAACACTGGCATCTACCTGACAATGTGGAAGATTGCCCAGGTTTGTCCTGTACACCAAAAGCAGGACAAATCCAATCTGGCTAATATTCCTCTAACCTACCCTCGATCATCAGTAAGGTGATGGAAGGTGCCATCAACAGTGCTATCAAACAGCATCTGCTCAGAAATTACCTGCTCACTGATGCCATCAGGGCCACTCAGCTCTTGATCTCATTACAGCCTTGCTTCAAACGTGGACAAGAAGAGCTGAATTCCAGAGATGAGGTGAGAGCGACAGCCCTTGACATCAAGACCGCATTCGACCAAGTGTGACATCAAGGAGCTCTACCAAAACTGGTATCAATGGGGATTAGGAGATAAAATCTCTGCTGGCTGGAGTTATACCTGGCATGTAGGAAGATGGTTGTGGTTGTTGGAGGTCAGTCATCCCAGTTCCAGGACATCTCTGCAGGAGTTCTTTTCAGGGTAGTGTCCTAGGCCCAACCATCTTCATCTGCTTCGTCAATGACCTTCTCTCCATCATAAAGTTAGAAGTGGGGATGTTTACCGATGACTGCACAATGCTCAACACCATTTGCCACTCCTCATATACTGAAGCAGTCCATGTACGAATGCAACAAGATCTGGACAAGTTGGAAGTAACATTCAAATTGCACATGACAGGCAATGACCATCTCCAATAAGAGGCGATCTAACCACTGCCCCTTGTTATTCAATGGTGCTATCGTCACTGAATCCCCCACTATCAAATCCTGGCCTACCATTGACCAGAAACTCAATTGGACTCGCCATATAAATATAATGGCTACAAGAGCAGGTCAGAGGCTAGGAGTACTGTGGCAACCAAATCACCACCTCATGCCCCAAAGCCTGTCCACCATCTACAAACCACAAGTCAGGAGTGAGATGAAATACTCCCCAGCTGCCTGGTAACTTATGGGAGAGAAACATTTACTCATTGGTATAATATGGTGTTCCATGAGAAAAGTTCAATTATTCACAATTTGTCTTATTGTGCTCCCACTAATAAAAAAAACCGACAATTTTTACATTTAATACACTGTAACTACTCCAGTCTGAAATGCTTTGGACCAAATCATTTCAGTAATTTTAAAATTTTATGGATTATAAAATGACAGTGAGTGCCGAATAAGTGTGTGAACCTGAAAATGCCACAGATATAAATATTCACCTGAAACACCAAACAGTATTAAAATATTATAAGGCAGTAATACAAATCTACTAAACCATATCTTCTGTGTCTCTACTTCCAAAGTACTGTACTAAAATAACGCTAATGACATTGAGAGAACAAGTGATTTTGCTTAAAACGTTTTAGGCAACTGGTGTTTCTGAACATTAGATTTCCTGACTGGAGAGGTTAGTGTAAATAGTTTTATGAAAGGCTATTAAAGAATGAGTTCAGTGGTCTTTGATTAATATCATTTTTACTATGGTTCAATTGGTGGCTCTTAGTTTGAGGATTAATATTGAAATATACAATGATTCTGTCTTGAAATCATTCTGCAGCTCAGCTACAAAATGAATTGGCAGTTTCAAGTTTAGAGGAGAACTAATATGAAGGGGTGGGCAGTAGGAATGATTCATGGAACATATCCAAACCAATCTTACTGTTTTTGGGTTCTCTGATCTCAACATGCTCATCAGTGCACTGAGACAGACATGCACTGGAAACCAGGGAAAGTTTAGGTCCTGTGTTCTGGGCTTCCCTTCTCCCCCTACTGGCTTTCTCATACTTTCTCCCAAATCTGCTCTCAAACATTTGCCTGACTTCTAAGAATCATTCCTTTGGATCATTGGCAGTGACATCTCGTGAATGACTGGATCCAATCCATCACCTGTTGTGTTCAATCCTGGGTCTAAAGTTTTAATCTTCTGGCTTTCAAGCTACCAAGCTTTGTCACCAGTTTCAACCACCAAAAGAATGAACCATTTATAATTATTGGAATCCCTGACCATCATTACCATTCTGTAAGGACTGTTCTCCCATGTTACAGGAGTGTGGCATTCATCTGCAATAACTTCTACCTCTGTCTCATTTGGTTGTGGTGTCAACAATGCATAGTCTGTCTGGACAACACTTCATTTCAGTTCATACATTTCTTCCAACTGGCTTCCAAATGGCTCTGTTATAAAACACAAAATCCACCAGACAAATGCCTTTGCTGCCAGATCTATTATTTTTTGCATCTAGTAATGTATGTATTGTTGCATTAGTCAATACTAAAATAATTTGCAGTTGGCTTACAAAATTGCAAGCATTTTTTTAAAAGAACGCAACATTGAGATTTTGATTTGAGATATTTTAAATGATCAATGTATATTTGTTTTTGTTTGACAAAAAGCCACCTCCATTTTCAGTATTATTAAATGGCTCTGTGGCTAATGAATAAATGTGATGTAACGCACTATTTGCTTTTACTATTGCATTATAAGCAACAGAGTAGGAATAATGTGCCTTTATGTCATTACTATACTGTATGCATTCCATAGATATAGAAGCCAGTAAATAGAAAAGGCATATTTCCCTGATTTGAAATGCTTAATGATGAATATACTCTTTGAGTGTATGTGTATGATTTTATTTATAAAATAAAGTGAGCCTAAACTTTCTGTAAACATGTTCCATTTGTTAATTGTTGAAGGAAGTTGCAATAATAATCTATAATACCTGCAAAGTTGGACATGCATTGTTAGAGCTAAGGTTTGTCTTATTATTTTCACTTTTCAATTTTTATTGTTTTTGTCATTTTGCAGATCAAGGACAAAGGGCTAAATCTTACATCCCAAAAACTGATGAGTTGAGATTTGGATCAGACATATGGCACAGAATTTTATAGGGCTCTAGTCAATGTGGGTGAAGACGAGATGTGTGGCAGGATTGGGTGGTGTTTGGCAAGGCCTATCTTGATCAGAATTGTCTTGCTCCATTTTCTATCCTTTTTCACAAGCAGTGTGGCAATATTCTCAATAGGCAGCAGTGAGATGCCAATTGACAGTCATTATTGATTGTTAATGCCATAACTTGCTCTATCACATCTTGCCAAACTCACCACATAAGCTAGATGTTGTGAAACTTGACAAGGCAACCAGAGCAAGCCTCTCCGGTCAGCCAGCTTCCAAGGAGCAGGGAAGCCCCTGCTTCAGGTCGAAACCTTAAGGAGGAACTCATAAGGAGTAGGGAGCCAAATGAGGGGCAGCACAGCACCCATCGTCTCCAGGCACTTAACTTGCATTCAGCTCTCACTCACTCTGAACCTGCCTTGATGCTCACAGCATCATTGCCTTCCCTTACCTTGCCTTGTTGTTCTTTGCCCCCTAAGCCAGAGATACTGGACTCTCATTACTACTGTTTTACAGTGCCATTTAGTGCAGACACAAAGCCAGGAAGCTTGTCATAATTGTTGGCATGCTTCAGTCAAATCAAGGGGGATAGCCTTCACTCGGGCAGATCCAACCAGTAAGTCAAGGGCCACTTCTTATATCGGTCTGTGCCCTGCTGGGGATCGTCAAAGTCAGGATCCTCTCCTCGTAAGGAGTGAGGAGCCAAATGAACGGCAGCAGAGCACCCATCCTGACTATTTCTGCTCTACTGTGGGCTTCTTTCCTTATGGAAAGACAGAAAGGCAGGTATTACAGGAGATTAAAATGGGTGACATCGGTATTACAGTTGGTATATGGATGCGGAGGTGTTTCAATCTAGTGAGTAGGCAGCATAAAGGGCATGCAGGTTTCATTGTGTCGTGGCTTGGGACAGGCAAATGGGAAAGATGTTGCAGGCAATAGTGAGAGTGGTAGAGCATGAGCCTGGGTGGGAGGTGGCCACAAAAGTAGAGATAGTGAGTGTTGGTGAAAAAGATGGTAGAATCTCACCTGGCAGAGTGGAGAAGGCTATTGGCATTCTTCCTACAATGCTGGGCGTTCCTCCAGACAACTGAGACTACTTTAGCCCTGGTGGCAACCTCGTACCAGGCTGGAATAGTCTGATGGTCTCTACTGCTGGTCTTCTGGGAAATAGCAAGACTTCAGGACCTTGCCCATAAAGCAGGTATCAATTTTCCTCCAGTTTCCAACAAATGTCAGCAACCACATATGGCAGCTCCAGATGACCATGCTTGTTTGGATGCACAAAAGACTTCAAATTATCGCAGGTGGCAGGGATGCGGTGAATTCTAGAACACTTGTTGAGTGGTAGGTTGTTGTGAGAACAGTGTGTGGTAGGATGAGATGGGAATCGGATGTGAGAGAGACCATAGGGACATGGTAGGTAATTAATGAGGTGAGTTCAGTAAGATAGGGTGGGAAAACTGTAAGGACTCAGTGCCAAACCCTCCAAACAACTTGATGTAACTCAGATTTCACCAAAAAGGAAAACTCAGCCCATGGAGTGGACTTTTGTGTTGTTCAACGGCGTGGGAAGAAAGGCAGACTGGTAACCATAATTGGCAGGATGCCGAAATTCAAAGTTCTGACAGTGGGGTGAACTTTTGCAATTGTTTTCTGAACTTTAAAGTGGATTCAGCTTTCCAATAGCAAGTGGCCACTGCTGGTGGCTACATTCAATGTTGCCCTGTAATATGAGTGGCCTTGTTGCAGAGTTTACATCAGGTCACCCAAAACAGTTAAAGATTTACATAACAGTTAGTTAGGCAGGTGCCAGTGGAAGCAATAGGTTGCTGCCTTTGGACTGCTAGTCACTCAGTGGTTCTCAAGATAAAGAAGGAGGGCTTCATTCTAAAAAGGGTTCTGCTGTAGCAGAGCTCAGCAGTTGGGACTCTCTGAAATCTTTGGAGCAAGTAGGTGTAGCTAAATTTTGAGGTTAGGGCTCAGGAAAAGCAGTGGGAACTGTGGGGATTTGGAATAAGTGTGTGATTCATTAATAATTCAAGTGCAACTGAATCTAGGGGTGAAGAAGCTCACAAGCAATATTTGCTTGGTGTAGTTAAGAATGATAGGAACTTGCACAAAACTAGGGGAAGTACCAGTTTGGTGAAGCTAGTTGTTTGTGGACAAGCAGAATTTGTGTCTGTGAGTAAGCACTGGAGTAAATTTTCCAGAATCCAGACAGCACAGTCTTGGGGGAAAAAAGAGAATTACGAGGACATGAGTGGTCATTGATGCAGTTCCAAAGTCAGATCTTTGAAATGATGAATTGGAATCCAAAAC